GACTATAAGCTGTATCGAAGTGAACTCGCCGTGAACAACCCTGCCGCTGCGAATTTTCTGGACGGAATCGAAGGTGCTCACTGGGTGAAGTACAGTTTCCAAGAAAAGTTTAATCTCCCGACTTTCGACGAAATAACCTCAAATTTGTCAGAGCAAGCGAACAACTGGATGGGTAAAGACCGACAACAGCAACCTTACAGCGGGACGACACAATTCTTCCTCCACAACTTGAACCCACTCCTGAACGGATTGGTAAAAGAGGGTTGAAGCCGGGGAAGAGGCCACAACACAAGCGAAAGATTGTGAAAAACGCGCTGTAGGGACAAGAATAAGCTTCGTCGGGCAAAGCCAATTTATACTTTATCGATCTGTATTTTTGACAAACAACACTTCATAATTAATAGATATTGTGCTTTCCGACAATTCTAACCAAATATGCAAGTGTTGCTGAGTCATATTTGGGTAAGGTATATTAAAAATCTAAACCGATAGATCTCTAGTGTTGTGCCCTAAGAACACGCGAGTAAAATATTTCGTGAAAATCTCTTAAACTCTAGAAGGAGTAGGAACTCTACGAATGTACCACTCCATGGTACACCCTTTTTGTATACTTTAAGCCGCAATGGTGCAATATGCTACGTTGATCTGCAATCTGAATTTTGCAATTTAACTACGTTAAATTTAGCCAAATCACAACCTGACCTCCGGGCTGAAGTCTACTGTATTTATTTTAAGGCAACACTTAGAATAGAAATAGACTGCGAACTACATTTTCAGCGCTTCGGCAAGCCCCATTCTGCTTTGTGCTCAATGCCACGCCTTAACCCACGACAGCGCCACGCCCGGAACATCCAGCGCCGCCTGGACGGCTCGTTTTACCGTCTCCGACTGAATCCCGGTATTTCCGCTCATGACGTCAGCGACGAAGACACCGACGAGCAGGAAGAGGAAGAATCATCAGTCGGGGGTGGACTCCGAGAAGAACGACGTAGGGGTGGTGGCCTCTTCGCAAGCAATCGAAGGGCCCAGAGAGGCGTGGATGGGTAGCTATATGAGGTAGAGCGAATATACGCGAAAAGGTGGATCAACGTAAGAGTATATTATTTCATTCAATGGGTTGGGTACCGGGAGCTTACATGGGAACCGGGAAGCCACGTTCCGATGCGCCTGAAGCTACGGTTCGAACGCGAATCGATCGACTTCATCTGGGTCTACCAATCGACAAGAGGGAGACGTCGGACTCGCCATCGACGACCGACACGACGCAGCGCAAGGATCCAGTCTCGCAGAAGTAGGTAGATACGGCTTGATATACACGCATCACGAACTTAGCAAATACTGTGACAGTAGTTTGTTTTTCGGTCGGCCTGGGGGGCGATCCAGTACTTTTCTACTGGATCATGGTAATTCCTCGCACGGCGAAGACAGGATTAGGCCCCCATCGCGCGACACGTGGAACCGCCAGCTGCAGCTGCACATAGGTTAGTTTGGAGTTAGCTCATTCTCCAATCTGCCCCGTCGAGCAACGACCCACCGCACCTCACCCTAGCAATGGTGCAAGCACCAGTGCGGTCGACCGATAATGAATACAGCTACGTGTGACCCCTCTACGATGACGAGATGTGAAGGAAATCCAAACTTCTGAGTACCAACCGTTTTCCGCACAAAAGTGAACATTACGTACGTGACTAGTCATTCGGGGACATGTGCAATGTACTCCGGGTCCCATCGACCCCGTAGCGCAGCGGAGGGGCTCGATGGGAACCTACTCAGGTCGACCGCGGAACGCACGACCTCCGCTACGCCCCGGTGCGCATCCTGGTCGCATTTAAAGATAGAACCTACTTCGCAGTGGAACTCCCCCGGCCTGCGCGCCGCAGACCTCCGCTCCGGTTGCGAACGGTTTCACTATGGCCTCGCTCGGCTTCGCTGGGTTGGCGTCGCATCGTCTCCTCAGAAGTCAGCGGTTGCAAGAGCATACTTATATTTATATATACAGGGGCTTCTACCGTAGGTGCGTGTCCGAACGGGCACGCCATCTATAGGCGGGATTGCAGCTGAGCGCGATCCTGGAAGTAGATAGCCATCTAAATCGCAACAAATGCAAATACAAATACTTGAGATTATGCGGACGAGGCTTGGTAGTCGAGTGTTGGTTAGGAAGGAAATCCGAAAGTGAATTAGAATGAGTTAGGTCAAACTAACTATCATCGCCTAGTCTCCTATGCAGACAACGACGATGAAATCCGCCATACCTTTGAAAGCCGCCCATGTCGTTCATGCGATCAACCAATCATATCAGCGGATCTGTATATTTTGTGTAAAAAGCGCACTTTCCACGTAATATATGCACTTTATCGTGTCCATTTTACACTTTTATGCATACTCAAGACCCTGATCGGCCAATGGAAATACACTCGACATCGTTAAAGATTAGCGTTATACTGGAGGATAGTGTTCAGATAGCGGGCGGATTTCATCGTCGTCGTCTGTAGCTGTACGTGTTAATAACAGTTAGTTAGTGTCGAGTAAGTTTTGCTAACATGTGATTGCCGAACGAGCAACACCAATTTTCGAGCAAAACGAGCGGATATTACTCAGAACTTTGATATTTGAATAGTTTTTACTGCTCTGCTTGGCCAATCTCATTTTCTACATTCTATGCTGAAACGTGCAGCTTGTCGTTCACTTTACATTAACTTTAACCGCATGTATCGAACAACTATTCCCCTGCTACTAACTCGTCTACTTACAGTCAGCAAACGTATAGCTAACAGTGAGTTAGTGTTTAGTAATTTCTACTAACAGCAAAACGCCCCACACTACGCCTTTTCCATTCTGTACGAAGGTGCCAAAAAAGGGCAAAACGGTACGTGAACTTATACCTATGAATAGTGTACTTCGCAAACATGTTCGTAATTTTCACAACACACTTACTTACTGTTAGTGCTGTTTGCAAACGCCTTTGTACGTTTGCTGCTCTATCACTAGCAGATCAAATTAATGGCTACTATTACCCGTTGTCGAGGGGTCATCCTTACTTTTGAATACATTTCGCCGGCTTTCAAGTAATGAGTAATGTGATCGACTTCCGAGTACGTAAACTTCATTTAAATTTGTGCGCTGCGTCACCTTGAAACTATTGACTAAACGCTAAAGACGTTGCTTGTTGGGATGCCATTCACGAACACGAATAACGTGCTACAAACCCTTTAGGGCAACTTATTTTTGCTTTCTGCTAGATGACGCTTGAATTCTCTATTAGCTTACTCACGTCCGCATAAGTGGATCGATGCGTTACTTCCCCAGATGCATTCACATTGCATCCTCCTCCGGTCCCGTCCAAGGTGGCGAATGCCGGACGTGGCATCTTCCTAAGTCACATTATGTGGAATTACTCAGAATTCAGTGAAGCGTACTCACAATTAAGTTGCACCCGTTGTCGAGCCCACAATCCATGTACGCACCACGGCGTAGCAAGAGTAATCCTAGTGCTGATTAGTTCGAAGAGACCATGGATGGTGTACCCAAGCCTGGAACGAACCTGAGCAAACCGAACCACTGTACGCAACTTTTTTGGTTCGTCGTTACACTTGACCTTTCGTCCGAACACGGTATACCGATATATCGACTTAAAAAACTCAGGAACGAGTGAAGTAAGACGACAGGTTCGGGTTTTTCATGTTCGTTGGCATGTCTGTCCTTTGGTACGCTAGTGTCGTGTTCACGCAAAACTTCCCGAGTTCGCGCTCTAACTGGCTGAAAAGGCCATAACAATGCGTACTTTCCCTTCTTGAACAGCCGCATACGATCCAAAGCTCGAAGGGCCGCTTTCGGCCCATCAACGGAGGGGCAGCGCTTCTCCTCGTGCGCAGCAGCTTCTGTTTAGCACTCTTCAAAGAGCCTTCAAGCACACAAGCTCACCCCAGCACTTGTACAAGCTCTCTGGATATCCTCTCCTTAGCTGCCTTCAATTTTCGGGCTCCTGGAATCGGTGTTTCCAAGGTATGCCGCTCTCGATTTCATTCAGGTTCATGATATACTAACTTACAACATGCAATCCGTATTCCTTTCCGCCTCAGTGGGGCCAAGCCAGCGAGCAGCAACGTTCTCTTACGCCAACGCGCATACTGTCAACAAAAATACCACCGTCGTCGCAGACATTGGCTCAACGCGTGCTTTCCCAACCCGTTCTTCGGCGCAGCACTAGCTTCCCCTCTGCCCAACTGGTGGAGATGGACGGGCCGCCTACTCGTCGGGCTAGGTATGAGGCATCTCCGGTGTTCACGATTCATGGGGGTAGCCGGGAAGGTGTGCCGACTGTCGAACCATCTCCGACGCGGTCAGAAGGGCTAACAGTGGTGAGCACGCCGGAAGAAATCCCTGCTGTAGTTGAGGGAGCTGTCGAAGGCTATCGCCCAAAGCCTGGATTTGTACTCGTCCCGCCAACTTCGAATGAACGTTCGTTTATATTCAAGTGGGGGGTACGCGTTCACCCAGCCAATGACCCAGCTTTGGTGGGGTGGATTTGCTTAGCCGCACACAGTTGCCGAGACGCAGATGCCATCCAGGTGCTGTACGGTGAGAGGACTTCTCGCGTTACAAAGCACTTGAAGGAAGTGCATGGTATCACGTCGGGTAAGACTGCCACCGAGGACACGCGCAAGCGAACAAGGGATGAAGAAATAACCAGAATCCTAGCGTCGGCAAATTCAAAAGAGAACTGCCAGCGAATGAGCCTGCTGCTCCAGACTCTACAAGTGATACACAACAATTTGCCGTTTGTTGTGGGGGAGTGGGAGGAATCTCAGCTTCTGCGTGCCGTGATCACAAAAGAGGAGTTCCGAGCTGTCGTGAATAGGCAAATCATAACGCATGCGGTTGGGGAGCTGTACGCCTCCGGTGTGGTGGAAATGACACACGTCATTCGGGTGAATCGGATCCCTGGCGTGAAATTCCTCACCATGGTGACCTCCTTTTGATCGTGCAAAACAACTGGGATGAAGTTCATCGGTCTCCGTCTATACTGCATTGACAATGAGTGGAAGTTTGGTTCAATCCTCCTAGGGACTCGTCACTTCAAGCCGCTCTACGGTGAACGCGATCAGGGCATTCGGGGACCGTATGCGCGATGGCTGAAGCAGATCCTCGCTGACTTCGGTCTAACAACTGCGGACTTCTTTGGGGCAACGACGGGCGGCGGACCCGACGTCAAGTGGATGATGGAGTCGGGCTTACGCCTGCAGTGGGAATGGTGTTGGCCACATCTGACCAATGCCGCTACGAAGGCAGCTTTTGGCATGACCGGGGATCGAACCCCTGATATGCGTTCTTTGCTCAGCAAGGTGACAACCACCATTTATCAGGTGCGGTCGGCGGAGGTGGTGGGGAGCCTTTACGCTGAGTTGGTCGACGCTCTTGGGATCGGCAAGGAAAAGAAACTAGTCGACTACAAGCCCCATCGATTTATGGGGCTGACCCAGGTATTTCGCCGAATTGTGAAACGCTGGGAAGTGCTCGAGTTGTGGTACGAGGAGCGCACAAGGAAGTTTGAGCGAGACAGAAAAGCTCTTCCGAACCCCTTTCCGTTATCCGGCAAGAAGCAGCTCATGGAGCAGCTATTGTCGCTGCTCATTCCCATCTTTGCAGTGAATGTCAAGAGCCAAGCAGAAAAGGCCAACCAAGTGGACGTCCTCTTGGCCGTGTACAAGCTGGGTATGCAGACGCTGGCTGTGGACCAACCGCTGGTCAAGTTTGATTCGACAAAAGAGCACGTTGTTCACTATCACCCCACCGAGCTACTGCCGTTAGCTGAGACCACTCGGAACCTGCTGAGCCAAGCCTTTCAAACGCGGTTCTTTTCTCGATACACGTGTCGTGAAGCGATGAAGAAGTGCTCATTTGTGTGGGAAATGCAGTTGCTGCTGCACCCCCACCCACAAAAATATTGACGGCATGGCATGGGCGTAGTGGGTGCTTGTGGAAGAGCCCAGCGCCTAAGTGATGGCGTGATCGAGCGCAACAAATACGCCATGAAGAAACTTGTTCTCCAGCGCCTCAAGACGATCATGCTGTCGCTTCAACCTTCGGAAGTCGAGCCTGCGATGCAAGTACCGGCAGCATTCTATCACAATGGTGGATTTTCAGAGGACCTGTGCGACTTCTTGCCGCTGACGATGGCCCAGGCACCTGAGCAACCGACTCCACAGATGCTCCTCGAAGACCGGGTTGATGAGGTGCTGGACCGGCGGTTCAGTGACCCACAACTTTTGGCAGCCACATCAGAGACCGATGTTGAGACCGTTCTCAACTTTTGCAAGCGGATGCTAGAGACTGGTACCTATCGCTGTTTACCTCAAGTTGCGCGTATCGTGTTTGCTGTTCAAGCTTCTTCGGCTCAAATTGAGCGCGATTTCGGGGTCAGCAGAATGATGGTGACATCCCAACGTGCGTCGCTGTCAGGAGCCAACATCGATATGTGTTTTTCTTGAATCGAAACCGAAGATTCATCGACGTCACGCAATGCCCTAAGCTCACGACAGCTGAGGCCAAGAACGCTATCCCGTCTAACGTGACGTTCGACTTGGAGCCGTTGAACCCCATGACGATTTTTGAAAGCGAGTGGGAAATTGCGCTGTCAAGTGCCTTCTCTCTGTCAGCTGAGCTATAGCTTAAAGACACTGAAGCCCCGCTGATTCTTCGACAAATTAATGCTAGTTAACATTGTATACATCAATTTGCTTTCTTCTTCCACAGTTCCGGTTGTACACTATCAGTTGACAATCAAATGAGCAAGCTATGAGCGCAACAACATCGATATCTTCATCTCCTGTGACCGCAGTTTCATCGAGCCAATAGTTAATGTAAATTGCAGCTACTCATTAGGAAGAAGGCCACCTCGCGCCATGTAATGATCACCACAGTAGGATCACTTTATAGACACTATGATGCCGTGCTGGGGTCCAGCAGTTGCAGCGCTCGAGAGGTCCATGGGTTCTGGGCCTCCCGTCCTCACTATCGGGCGAGGCTGTGGCCTCGGCGCATGTGCATGGAGCTTAGCCTGCCGCAGGCTAAACTCCTCCTGCATTGCAAGAGTGATTGCAGCTTCGAGAGTACTCGGGTACTCAGGGAAGAGGTAGGTCTTCACAGGCCCATCCCTCAGTCCCTTCATGAACGTGACGACCTTGGTTGCCTCGTCGATCGGATTGGTCACGATGTTCGAGACCAAATACCGTGCTCTCTGAGCGTAAGCATGGACATCATGCTTGCCCAGCTGCAGGTCGTGGAACTCCGCCCTCGACCGGAACTCGTTTTGCGGTGGCTCAAACGCTCGTCTGAGCTCATCCTTGAAACCCTCGTACGTGCTAAAGCACGTAGGATCCGAGAGTCGGCGTCCATATGCCCAACTTCTTGCGCGTCCGCCAAGACATGACATGGCGAACGCAACCTTCGACAACGGGTCGACGATACGTCGAGCCGCAATGGCAGTGTCGAGTTCGACAAGCCAACGGAGGAGAGGTTCGCCCTCTCTTCCGACATAGTTACTCACATTGAGCTTCAGCGATTGCGCGCGTGGTGTCGTCCCGGACGGCACCGCGGTAGTAGCAGCAACATCGCGTTGCTCCTTCAGGGTGAAACCCAGAGCAACACCGTGTTGCTCCGTCGGCGTTAGAGTACGCAGCATCGTAGCTACAGCCGCCTCACCAATGACTGTTGACAGTCGTTGGAGGGCCTCCCACTTTGGATCCGACAGGTGGGGACAGTCAGCGCGTGCAATGTGGGTTACCGGCAAAGTGGAGCTTTCCATTGGCACCTCTGTATCCATGGGAAGGTTCGCAGCTCCGCGTTCGTGCGGTGATGTACGAACTCAGGTAGTCGGTCGTTGGACGGACTACAAAGTGCTACCAGGTGTAATGGGCCTACTTTGGTTCATTACATTAGCTTACACGTGTGCGCACGTGTGTGAGGAAGCGTAGCTTAAGTTTAAATTAGAGTTAATTATACTCTGGCCTCCGAGTATAGATTAATCTAAATAAGCGATCCAAATAATGTTTTTGGGTTAAAATGAGAACTGCTATTTTTGGTTTATGGTTTCTGACTTCCCCTAAATGAAATATTCTCAGTTAGGAATCTGCCAACGGCTGGTTGACAGAATTCCAATGCTATGCATGTCGCTCATTGGCTAAAAGATGCTGCTTTCAGCCAATAGGAATCCTAAGTCTCTATGGACCACCCGTCGTGGTGATCGTAAATGTATGTAACCTTTGGTGTGTCTACACCAAGGTCGAGAGTCTTTCGAACCTCTAACAGACGTCGTGTCTGTTAGAGTTACAAGTGACTGTAGCCACTTGTGCGTGTAACCCTGTTACACAAAGAGGAGCAGTCCATTCGCATTAAAGACTCGGCCTCGGAGGGCCGAGTCGAGGATCGTCGCAGCGCGAAGCTTCGGTCGCGGTGTCGGTCCGAGACTGGGGCTGGAGAGGCCAGCGCCATAAGATGCTTGATTGCGGATGGACTGTGATGATAATAGGATAGAGCAGAGGCTAAAACAGAGTTAGCTAGTACCAGCAATCCATGCAACTTACATGACTCGCACTAGACACACACAGCAGGTTGCCCTGTGACTCGACCGACAATGGAAAGCCGGTCTCGCTTGAAATGAGGGAGCTGATTCGGGCCAAGCCACGGGTCAAAACCTTGTGTGCTGATTCGGCCCTGACACGCTCGCCATACTCCGTCGTGGGAGCGCGAGCTGCCCGAAGTGAGGTAGTTGTAGTTGTAGGAGTAGTGATAGGTAGGCGAGCGCGAGCGTGACGGAGACCGACATGGTTCCTCCTCGTCAGGACGACATCACGAGCAAGCCTGCGTGGGCGATCGCTACATGTACCTTCGCTGCTGAGGGGGTCGGAATCCGTGAGTCGGCCGTCCAGCGCTGGCGCGACCGCGGCGATAATGTCGCTGACGGAGCCGGCACTTGGTGGTCACGCCTCAAGAACACGAATGGCGCTGCTCCACTAACTATCCTACCTAGCGTGGGAAACCCCCCGCCACCGGATGTCGCATCCATACGGAGCCGTTCTGCGGGAAAAACCAGGCACCTACGCACACACAACTGGCTTAGAGATATCGATTTTCCTTTGTGCCGGTCGAATTGTGTCCAGTAGCAAAAGCCATGATCTCTCCTCGCCGAGAAACCCATTTTCAGCCTCGCCTTCGTCTCCTCTCAAAAGACCCACTTCGCGAGGTGTTACAGGTTCGTTTGCCGTCGTACCTATGCGAAGGAACCCCTTGAAACGGCCCAAATGTGTTCGTTTATTGCAATTGTGGTTGGATTAAACTCTTGGATTTTGAAACTACTCACTGCGGCTTTTTGAGAGCATCAAACGACCACCTTCCACCACCAGGATGTTCGCCCTTGCTCCTTGCAACAGATCGCAGCATAGTGAGGGCCACCAGCGTGTCACGATGGATCAGCTGGCTCATCTTCATCGCCGCCGGCAAGTCCCCTTTAAGAGGACTTTTTCAAGTTAATGGGAAGCCCAAGGAGCTCTGCAGCATCCGACATGATACTGAGCAGCAAGCGCTAGCTGTTGTTGAACATCCCGTCGACCAGATTGTTGCAAGCACAAGATACGAGTTCGAGCACGCCGCAGCACAGATGGAGCAAAAGATGCAGCTTCGCCTGGAGGAGAGTTTTAGAGCGTCTCACGCGGCTGCACAATCGGCTGTGTATGATACTGTTCAAGCGATCTCTGGTCGAGTAGATTCCGCAGTGGCCAACCTCATTGAAGATCGTGCACGTCTGGATGAGGCTCTCGATATTCATGTAGCCAACTCACAACTGGACTCCCCGGAAAATATAAGGCAACAGATTACTGAAGTCTGTGATGAAGGTGTCCATGAAGCTTTACGGTTGGCGCAGACATCGTTTAACGAAGCCGTCGAAGAGAAAGCAGAGCACCACGCGTCTCTAATTGAGTATCGGCTTCGGGATCGTGTTGCCGAGACTCAACACCAAGCCCAAGACCGCGATGGCAAATCAAGTGAGGGCTAGCGAAGATCAAATGTAAGCACGACTTGAAGCATTTTTGGCTGTGGCATCCTCGCACACGGATTCCAGTATCTCTTCGATCGAATCAAAAATGGACAAGAAAACTATCCAGCTATGCAGCACTTTGGAGCGCCCCATGAGCAAAAAAACGGGTCAAGTGTGAAAGCAGCCGGAAAAAAAATAATGACCGACTTGATGCAGCTAAAGTGCAGATGCTGGACGAAGCACATAGTCGGATGCTGGCTGTTGTTGCTCATGTGGAAGCTCGGGGTATCAATTCTCCAGCATCTTGTTGAAACGCAACGGCCAATTGAATCTGACAAGGATGAAGTCAAAGGGGCTCTTGCTGCTCAGATGGAACGCGTGCGTTTATCGCAAAAACTTAGCGCTGAGGACTTGGACGACCGATTGCAGCGCGCGATACACGATCTGGAAGTGCGGATTGAAGGCGCCACACGTGAACAGGTGAATGAAGCCTTATCAACAGAAGTGCAAACAGGTGAGCAAAAGCTTAGCGATTTCGAAAGCCGCATGCATACCCAGCGAACGCACCCGGCAATTTGTATGTACTGTAGCACTACACCAGCGCAGAAATCTGGATTCGAAGCAAACTGTGCTTGTGTCCACTGCAACGCCCATGAGTATGGAGTATCTCGCTCCATTCCTTCCCCTGTTAGACATTCCGACAACGGACGTGACACCACCGTTAAGAGTGTGGCTTCAATGGTAAGAACAGCAAACGTGCGTCTTGCTTCAAGCTAGGAGAAGCTGAACAAGCGTTGGGCAAGTCACGTCGCCGTCGTAGACATCCGGAAGCCCCTCCATTGAGCATAATGCCCCGGAATGAGTCGCCACTCGACCGTGCAAGGAAGCTGGCGCAGACAGCGATATCAGATCGTGTGGCCGCACGTATTCGAGAGTTAGAAAGCAAGGTCGTCAGATAGAGAAGTAATTGTAATTTTCAATGAAGCAGCTACTTGAAGCCCTTTGCGTTGTCTAGACAAGGTCGCAAGGAAACAATGTGCGATGCTACCGATGCGGTAGAGTCGGTCACTTTGCTCGGGAGTGCACGGCCCCTGTGCACCAGCAGGGTGGCTGCTGCGGCGGTGCCGGGCACCGTCGCAACCAAACACAAAACGCTGGCCGCCAGTAGGAGCGGGGCGCCCTACTGGTAATGCAGCTTCGCGTGTCAACTTTGGACACGCGACACTGAGGACTGCAGCCCCCGGTGAGATTTATTCTCATTGCAAGAACCAAGATGACAAACCTGACCTTGTCATCCTGAATGTGAACTCGATGAGAGCAAGCGGCTCTCTTCGTGCTTTGGTAGATTCTGGCGCGTCGAAGAACTTTGTTCGACTGCGAAGTCTATCAAGGCTTGACTTCGAGGATATAAAGATACCTCGAAGTATGTTGGAAGTACGACTGGCAACGGGTGCCGTCGTGAAGACCGAGAAGCGCATGGTACGCGTGCGCTTCACGTATGAAGATCAAGAGTTTGTCGAGACCTTTATCGTCCTGGATCTGGACGATAAGTTTGACATTGTATTGGGCATGCCGTGGCTTGCACGGCATGATCCGGTCATCGATTGGGAGAAGCGCATTCTCGTGCGCTTCGG